GGCAGGGGGGGGGAAAGGAGACATATGAAATACTCTTTGTAATACTTTAAGCAATCAAAAAATAAATAAATAAAAAGCAGGAAGGTGGGAGGGGTAAGAGATCAACCGAAGGACTTATGTGCATGCATATAAGCATAACCAATGGACATAAGACACTGGGGAGTAGGGGAGGCCAGGGAATTGTCAAGGGCAGGGGGGGGGAAAGGAGACATATGAAATACTCTTTGTAATACTTTAAGCAATCAAAAAATAAATAAATAAAAAGCAGGAAGGTGGGAGGGGTAAGAGATCAACCGAAGGACTTATGTGCATGCATATAAGCATAACCAATGGACATAAGACACTGGGGAGTAGGGGAGGCCAGGGAATTGTCAAGGGCAGGGGGGGGGAAAGGAGACATATGAAATACTCTTTGTAATACTTTAAGCAATCAAAAAATAAATAAATAAAAAGCAGGAAGGTGGGAGGGGTAAGAGATCAACCGAAGGACTTATGTGCATGCATATAAGCATAACCAATGGACATAAGACACTGGGGAGTAGGGGAGGCCAGGGAATTGTCAAGGGCAGGGGGGGGGAAAGGAGACATATGAAATACTCTTTGTAATACTTTAAGCAATCAAAAAATAAATAAATAAAAAGCAGGAAGGTGGGAGGGGTAAGAGATCAACCGAAGGACTTATGTGCATGCATATAAGCATAACCAATGGACATAAGACACTGGGGAGTAGGGGAGGCCAGGGAATTGTCAAGGGCAGGGGGGGGGAAAGGAGACATATGAAATACTCTTTGTAATACTTTAAGCAATCAAAAAATAAATAAATAAAAAGCAGGAAGGTGGGAGGGGTAAGAGATCAACCGAAGGACTTATGTGCATGCATATAAGCATAACCAATGGACATAAGACACTGGGGAGTAGGGGAGGCCAGGGAATTGTCAAGGGCAGGGGGGGGGAAAGGAGACATATGAAATACTCTTTGTAATACTTTAAGCAATCAAAAAATAAATAAATAAAAAGCAGGAAGGTGGGAGGGGTAAGAGATCAACCGAAGGACTTATGTGCATGCATATAAGCATAACCAATGGACATAAGACACTGGGGAGTAGGGGAGGCCAGGGAATTGTCAAGGGCAGGGGGGGGGAAAGGAGACATATGAAATACTCTTTGTAATACTTTAAGCAATCAAAAAATAAATAAATAAAAAGCAGGAAGGTGGGAGGGGTAAGAGATCAACCGAAGGACTTATGTGCATGCATATAAGCATAACCAATGGACATAAGACACTGGGGAGTAGGGGAGGCCAGGGAATTGTCAAGGGCAGGGGGGGGGAAAGGAGACATATGAAATACTCTTTGTAATACTTTAAGCAATCAAAAAATAAATAAATAAAAAGCAGGAAGGTGGGAGGGGTAAGAGATCAACCGAAGGACTTATGTGCATGCATATAAGCATAACCAATGGACATAAGACACTGGGGAGTAGGGGAGGCCAGGGAATTGTCAAGGGCAGGGGGGGGGAAAGGAGACATATGAAATACTCTTTGTAATACTTTAAGCAATCAAAAAATAAATAAATAAAAAGCAGGAAGGTGGGAGGGGTAAGAGATCAACCGAAGGACTTATGTGCATGCATATAAGCATAACCAATGGACATAAGACACTGGGGAGTAGGGGAGGCCAGGGAATTGTCAAGGGCAGGGGGGGGGAAAGGAGACATATGAAATACTCTTTGTAATACTTTAAGCAATCAAAAAATAAATAAATAAAAAGCAGGAAGGTGGGAGGGGTAAGAGATCAACCGAAGGACTTATGTGCATGCATATAAGCATAACCAATGGACATAAGACACTGGGGAGTAGGGGAGGCCAGGGAATTGTCAAGGGCAGGGGGGGGGAAAGGAGACATATGAAATACTCTTTGTAATACTTTAAGCAATCAAAAAATAAATAAATAAAAAGCAGGAAGGTGGGAGGGGTAAGAGATCAACCGAAGGACTTATGTGCATGCATATAAGCATAACCAATGGACATAAGACACTGGGGAGTAGGGGAGGCCAGGGAATTGTCAAGGGCAGGGGGGGGGAAAGGAGACATATGAAATACTCTTTGTAATACTTTAAGCAATCAAAAAATAAATAAATAAAAAGCAGGAAGGTGGGAGGGGTAAGAGATCAACCGAAGGACTTATGTGCATGCATATAAGCATAACCAATGGACATAAGACACTGGGGAGTAGGGGAGGCCAGGGAATTGTCAAGGGCAGGGGGGGGGAAAGGAGACATATGAAATACTCTTTGTAATACTTTAAGCAATCAAAAAATAAATAAATAAAAAGCAGGAAGGTGGGAGGGGTAAGAGATCAACCGAAGGACTTATGTGCATGCATATAAGCATAACCAATGGACATAAGACACTGGGGAGTAGGGGAGGCCAGGGAATTGTCAAGGGCAGGGGGGGGGAAAGGAGACATATGAAATACTCTTTGTAATACTTTAAGCAATCAAAAAATAAATAAATAAAAAGCAGGAAGGTGGGAGGGGTAAGAGATCAACCGAAGGACTTATGTGCATGCATATAAGCATAACCAATGGACATAAGACACTGGGGAGTAGGGGAGGCCAGGGAATTGTCAAGGGCAGGGGGGGGGAAAGGAGACATATGAAATACTCTTTGTAAGACTTTAAGCAATAAAAAAATAAATAAATAAAAAGCAGGAAGGTAGCTTATGGGAGCTCTGGGACAACATGAAAAGTAACAACATCTGAATTATAGACTATAAAGTCTCCAACAATTAAGTTATTAAATGGGTGAACTGGGGGTAGGGGGGCAGATGCTGGATAATGACAAAGCCTATGTCTTTTTAAAATTTACTCTAACAAGGCCTAGTAACTAGGCCCTAGTTGGTTTGGCACAGTGGATAGCGCATCGACCCAAGGACTGAAGAGTCCCAGGTTCGATTCCGTCACAGGCATGTACCTCAGTTGCAGGCTCGATTCCTGGCTCCAGTTGGAGCACGTGCAGGAGGCAACCAATCGATGATGTGTCTTTCTCATATTGATGTTTCTCTCTCTCTGTCTCTCCCCTCCCCTTCCACTCTCTAAAAATCAATGGAAAAGTATTCTTGGGTGAGGATTAATACAAACAACAAAAAATTACTCTGCCAAGATTTTTAGGGATCACTTAAGGTTCTTAACATTTGGGATAACAGATGCTTTTGAGTCTTATAAAAATAACTGACCCTTTCTAGAATATACATGTGAGCGTAAATGCAATGTTCCTCAGCCCATTTTAGGTTTATAGACCTACTGAGGCCATCCATGGACCTGCTGCCCCTAACAACTCCTAGAAAGAGAGAATACTGCACTTGGCTAAACATACAGTTTGAATCGTAAATTTGAAGTTCACATATATGTGATTATTCCAATGTTATTTAGGAAAAATATAATTCCAACTATGAATGCCAACAGAACTTTATAATACAAAATCCTACATGTAAAATAAACTTACCTCAAAATTCACAGGCAAGTTCCGTTTAAGTGCAATCTCAAACACTTGACTTATTTCAGATTTATTGAGATTTTCTTCCTCTGATTCTCTTCCATTCACCTAAAAGAATAATAATTGTTTAGTAGTTAACTCTTATTAAAACCATCAACATCCCAGCTGTGATAAACCTTAAAAACACTGAACCTTGGCTTTATGGACTGAGCATCAAACCAGTGAGAACAAGGCCACACGCTACCATGTGTCAGTGAATTTAAAAGGTTAAAAAAAAGTGTTCTATCAAACTTGGGTCAGACTGCACCTCATAAATCCACCATAAACAATGTACACATAATGGACTTTTGGGTATGAAATCAGCCTAATCATGGCATAGTGAGATGCCCTGGCTGCTCAGGCAGAGTGACTTCTAAAGCCCTCCTCAAGGACTGTCAAGTCACATTTTGGAAAAAGTCAAAACACAGGCAGACTTGTGTGGGACTTGGCAAGTTCAAATATAAGTCTCTCCACCTAATGTTTCTTATCTGGACATGAAGTCCTTGGAAACCACTTTTTCCCAAAAGGATGCAGTGGAACTATTATGAAACTGCCAAGCATCTCATACTTACTGCTGCTGGTAAAAATAAAAAACTAATAAAGTCTCCTGAACAAAGGCTGAAACTCTATATCTGTAACCAGGTTCTTTTTTAGTCCTCCAGCCAGGGCTTGAGCCTAAAGAGTGACAGAGATCAATTCTGCATACGCTGATAACATGATTCTATATTGCACTGCCATGATTAATAGAAAAAATTAGATAAGCTTGGTAACAACAAAGTGCCCCCAAACCATGGCAAACAAACTGTGTTTTTCCTTGTATTATTGCGACTCTGTATTCATACAATTGTAAAACCCCATTTCCAAGATCTGAACTATCTGACAGGAACCTATGGCTGAAATTGTTGAGTGGGCAAGGTGTATAGGACCATCCAGGATTTTCTTACATTTTATCAAGTACATCCTACACCTACACTGAATCATTATTTTAAGGTGTAATTAAAAGAAATAAAACTGAAAGTTTAAAAAAATGCAATCAAGAATATAATCCTGTACAAATAAGTTTACCCCAGATACTATTTATACTTCCTTCTCTACCTTCTAATGTTCTTCCAATCTAGTTTCATGTCACTCTCTGCCTGATCAAACTATTTGCATAGTATTTCTGGTGGTTTATTAAGCTAAACACACTTTTATTCCTGTTATTTAAACCCTCAGGAGAAAGAAGGCCTGCCTTTTTATGAGTGAATCCTTAAAGCCGGAAATCTTCAAGCAAGGTACCTTAAAAGGCATAGGTTTCACAGAAGCTTGGGTTGACATTTATTTGTTAAATTGGTTTTAAACTAAAAAGAAAAATAATACTGTATTTTAAAGTTAGGTATGTTCAACAAATGGTGCTGGAAAAACTATTCACACGCAAAAAAATGAAGTTGGACCCTTACCTTACACCATATACAAAAATTAACTCAAGATGGATCAAAGACCTAAACATAAGAGCAAAAATTATAATAAAATTCTTAGAAGAAAACATCGGGGAAAGTTTCATGACACTGGGTTTGGCATGACTTCTTGGATGTAACACCAAAAGCATGGGTAACAAAAGAAACAAATAAATTGAATTTCACCAAAATTAAAAACTTTCGTGCATTAAAGGATACTATCAACAGAAAGAATAAAGACAACCTACAGAACGGGAGAAAATATGTCTGATAAAAAACTGATATCCAGAAAAGAACTCCGACAAAACTCAACAACAACAAACAACCCAACTCAAAAATAGGAAAGGCTTTGAATAGACATGTCTCTAAAGAAGGTATGATGGCCAAAGAGCATGTGAAATAATGCTCAACATCACTAGGGAAATGCAAATCAAAACCACAATGAGATACCACTTTACTCCCATAAGAATGGCCACAGAAAATAGCAAGTGTTGATAGAGATGTGGAGAAATTGGAACCCTTGTATGTTGTTGGTGAGAATGTAAAATGGTACAGCCTCTGTAGAAAAGTTTGGTGGTTTCTCAAAAAGTTAAAACACAGATTTACAATATGATCCAGCAATTCCACTTCTAGATCTATACTCAAAAGAATTTAAGTAGGGACTCAAACAGATACCTATTAGCAACATTATTCACAATCACTACAAGGTGAAAACCCAAACATCCATCAAGAGATGAATGGATAAGCAAAATGTGGCATAGTCATACAATGCAATATTATTCAGCCTTAAAAAGGAATTAAATCTTGAAACATGCTACACCATGGATGAAAACATTATGATACCTTGAAAACATTATGATAAATGAAATAAGCCAAACACAAAAGACAAATTTATCTATTTAGATGATGTATCTAGAATAGGCAAGTGCATAGAGACAGAAGAATAATAAAGGTTATCAGGGAATGGGGACAAGACGGGGGAGTCACTGTTTAACACGTACAAAGTTTCTATGTGGAATGATAAAAAAGTTCTGTAAATGATTAGTGATGATAGTTGCACAACATTGAGAATATATTTAATGCCAAAGAAGAGTACACTTAAAAAATGGTCAAAATGGCAACCTTTATGTTAATGTATATTTTATCTTAATGTTTTTAAAGCAGCAAAAAAGTATGTTTTACACCAAATATTAACACACAGAAGTCTGTCAGCACATTAACTTGTGCTAACAGGTTAACCCACTTTTGTGCACAAAAGAATTTTTGACAGCTATTTATTTGAAGAGTATCCAGAAAAAAATTTAAATAAATTAACTTTTTAAAAAAATGATAAACTCTCATGCTAAGTAACTGTATCAATGAGTATGTTCTCCTTATGTGCAACCAGAACAAAAGTTGGAAATAAAATAGGTGGTGAGGCTGATATAGACATCAATTGCCATGCTTGTGTCCAGTTTTCAATGTTTTTGTTCATTATTACCGGTCCAATTAGTTTTAACTTTTATTTTTAATTATGATCTATTTCAAACATACAGCAAAGTACAAACAATGTAACAGGCAACTGTGCTAGATTTAACAAATGTCAACAGTAAGTACTATTGACATTAAATTTTTTTTATAAGGAATATAATGAAGCCCCTCTCATCCTCCTTTCCAAGGCAGAGTTAACCACTATTCTAAAATTAAGACTATCTTTCCCAGCCATGTGTGCTTTTTTAAATGGATGAAAACAATATATATAAAATTCTGTGGTGTAAAAAATCACATAAATTGTTTTAACTGATTGTCTTAATAAATATAAAATTCAAACTTCTAAGTTTCCACTAATGAAATATTACTTTTCTTTTTTATATATTGAAGTTCCACATAGGTCTAATAGAAAACAGTAGTCTACTGCTAAATCTAAACTCTAAGCCAGTGGTTCTCAACCACAGTAATATTAGAATCACTTCGGAGCTTTACAAAGACAGCTATCGGAGCCCCCTCCAAACAAATAAATTCAAATTTTTGTAGGTAGGGCTTGAATATCCATTTTATTTACAGTATTTGTTTATTTGTTTTTAAAGTCCCCCAGATGACTTTATTAGCAACCAGAGTTGAGATTCACTGCTCTAAGCCATTGCTTCCAAGGGAATTTCAATAAGGACAAAGCAGCCAGTAAAATAAAAATGCAAAAGAGGAAACAAAGATATACATTTATTTGGAAGTGAGATTATGTTGCTCTTTTACATAAATAATTTTGATTGTATCTAAATTGCACAAAATGTTGCAATGGGGAAGCAGCAAATGACTCAAAACAAATCCACAAATACGATTCCCAGTAAGATGGGGAAAGTGTAGTAGGCCCTTAGTCTTACCTTCATGAAGTGGGAATTACTGTTAACATCAATCCCATAGAGTATGGTTCAGCAATAAAATCTAGGCAACATTAAGAAAAGAAAAAAACACTCTGAACCATGCTTAACCCTCATTATGCCAGGAAAAAATAGTTATCACCATTTACCATCTGGCTCCAATAGACCCTTTTTATTTTTCTATATTTCAAGTCATTTTACAAATAATACAGAATAAAGGATAACAAAAATCATTTCAAAAAGAATTCAAAATAGCAAACCCAAGTTTTTATCCCAGGTTTGTAGTTCAGAAGGCATATGTACTTGAAATGAGCAAGGTCCTTTTATACAACCAACTGCTCATCGGCTGGCAAACCTGAATCTAGAGCAAAGCCCACTTGTAATGATGCCAGATTTTAAATCCATCTCCAACAGGTTCTAGCTTATCACAATTCTGATTCTTCTTGTACTGGTACTGTCAAAACACACTCTTGAAACCAACTCATAACTTCGTTGATGGAAGAACAGCCATCTTCTTTGTTCCATAAAGAAAAAAATGCTTTCACTTTTAGATTTATAAACCCCAAAGAAGGATCAATCTAATGGTTGGGTTTTTTTTTCATTGTTATTATCATCTATTTCCTTCCAATCATCTTTGTATGTACTCTCCTCTTATATCTGTTCACTTATTTTGTGGACAATAAGTGTTAAGAAATTCTGGTGCCCAAATATCATAAAGGATCAAAGGATGTTGTCATACATACTTAAAAAAAAAAATCAAAGCTGGATGGTCCAGGTTTATGTCAGAAAATATTGAAGTTCTTCTTGCTGAATGACTGAAAGCGAATACACATTTCCTTTTCATACACCATAGGAATGTATTATTCACTCGCCGATTCTTGAGTATGGGAAAACTTATCTAAGGTATCTTCTGAAGAGTCACAATTTGAGATTTTACTTAAACAATCTCACCATCGCAATTAGAGTCTAGAATGCTGCTATCTGTCTCTTTGCATTTATTTTCTGATTTGTCTAATGATAATTTGTCTTCCTCTGTCAATTTTCTTCTCTTTGCCAGTAAGGATGGAAAAAGAAAAATTCTGAATTCTCACCTGGGTTCAATGAATGCTAAAAGTAGAGTAAAAAGATGGCATCTCTAGTCTTCTTTTGTATCTTCTTAAAAGACAATGCAATACATTAGGCAATGCAATAAGAACATTAAAGGATGATGTAATAATGACAATTACTTTACTACTGTATCATCTACCTAGAGATTTCATTATTCATCCATTTTCTTATTATTTTAGTCTTGCTTATCATATTTGGGAATATATGATGAATAGTACTGAAATGATATGTAGGATGACAAACAGCAAAAATGTTTAAAAACTAGAAGAATTAAAATTTCATACTGTAAAGATTCATAAAAAGGTCCATGGACCTACATAATCACTGTAAGATAGAATAAATTTTATTCTATTTTAAAAATAAGTATATTTTCTCTTTTCTTTGTAAGACATCTAAAAAAGGAATAAAGGTCATGCAGTGTAAATCCTTACAGAGCTTGGAAATAAAGCTCAAAAATAAAAACTGAGTTCAGTGGACCCTGATCATATAATGAGGATTAAAGTCTCCAGTTTTAGTTTTAGTTCTACCTAAATATATCCCTGGTCCAAGTGAAGATAAGGACTCAAGACCAGGAAGAAACTTCAGTACAATTTCTTAAAAGTTTGTTGTCTACCACTACCAAGAAAAAACTTTAAAGTTTGATATAACAGTCAGGATAGAAACTGCGCCCACACACACATGGCTTTTTTGTTTACCTAAACACAATCAGTATCACATTAAATGCATAACAGCAGTTCTGGTAACAGCAGTTCTGGATCTTGAGTCCCTCCATTCAATAAATTATGAGCCGCCTTTCATACCTATGTATACAGATTTACCACACTCTGGTTCTCCCTTTGATAAATGTATACATATAGCCATTCCCTTACTAATGGAAATGGCTAGCTCCTGTTTTTCCCTATTACTGATACTGTAGCCAAGACCATTTTACTCCTAACAGCTCAGACACTTAAGTCATCCTTTATTAGCACAAGCCTTAGATTTAAAATAAAGTAAAAGTGCTTTCCCAATTTTTGCATGATGGGCTACTCCCTTGGCTGGGAAGGTACGTCCTGCCTGCTCTTTAGCTCATCCTTAGTCTCAGCTTTAATGACTTCCTCAGAGAGAACGTCTCTGAATACTCCACCATTACTCCACTCTAACCAAGGCATTTTATGCTTTCAATGCATGATGCTTTTCCATTCTAGCACTCACTGCACTTTTGATACTAATGTTAAGGTCTGTCAACTCCATTCAACTAAGTTCCACAGGGGGAGGGTCCCAGCACAAAGCCTGTTACCAAGGGACCAGACTATCCCTGCCTTGTAGAGATAGTGGCTATGTTCTAGAGAAGATGAACTGATTCACCACACAATCACATTTTCCAAAACTTTCAACAGCACAAAGGACAATTTGTTTAAAATGACAACTTCCAATGCTGGTAGGCTGTGGGCAAACAGGCTGCTCACGCCCTTTTGGGAGGCGACTAAAATGGTACCATGTTTCTGGTGGGGATCCTAGCCACATACATGACCTTGAAATTCCACTTCTAGGACTGTGGCTCACAAAAATAGCCACAGACATACACAAAGATTTAACTACAACAATGTTCTAATCTACACGATGTATTTTGTAACAGGAAAAACTCCAAACAACCTAAATAACCACACCTCCGTTGAAAAAAAAAAACGGGTATATGCACACAATGGAACTATTAAAAGGTGCTTAGAGACTTCACTGGTTCAGTGGTTAGAACACTGGCCCACGTACCAAAGGGTTACAGGTTTGATTCCTGGTCTAGGGCACAGTTAAAGGCACATACCTGGGTTGCAGTTTTGCTTCCCCACTCCTGGTTGGGGCAAGTGCAAGAGGCAACCAGTTGATGTATGTGTGTGCGTGTGTGTGTGTATCTGTCTCTCTCTTTCTCTGTTCTCTCCCTCCCCATATGAAAAGCAATGGAAAAAATGTCCTCAAGTGAGGACTTAAAAATAAATAAAGAGGATTTTTTTTAAAGGTGCTTGGATACACGTTGAATCTGAGTCCTCCATGGAATTAAATGGCATGATATTCATGATAAACACATCAGGGGAAAAGGTGGTTACTGTACAATATCATTCCTTTATTAAATTTAAATATGCTTTATTGATTTCAGAGAGAGGGAGAGATAGAAACATCAATGAGAGAGAGAATCATCGATCAGCTGCCTCTTGCACGCCCCCTCCCACAACCTGGGCATGTGCCCTGACTGGGAATTGAACTGTGACCTCCTGGCTCATGGGCTCAATCTCTGTGCAACATTGGCCAGCACATCATCCCATTTTTTGTAAAATTGATAGGTGCATGTATTTACTTGTATATGCACTGACATCACCAATATGTTTATGATTTTCTACAAGTGGTAAATTTATAAATCATTTTTCTTTTTTTGAATTAAAGAATTTGTATAGTTCATATGCATTACTTGTAAAAAAAAAATCAAGTTTTCTTTTGAAAATATCTCTCTTTACCCCCTTCTACCCATCTACCAGGAGGCCTGGTAAATCAGGGGCAGCTTGTTTAGGTGGTAGGCCAAGTGTTTTATTTACTACTTCAAGGAAAAAGTTTTATCCTTTTTAATTCTCATTTCCGAAGCACTGGTTAAAGCCAGTCTCTGAGCCATTTCTGAAGGTCACTGTCTCTACCTCAGCTATACAGAACTAGAGAAGGGGAAAAGAGGAGGAAACAAAGGGCACAAGTAGATTTGAACCTTACTCTTGGCAAAGCTCCTCATAGACATGAGATGAGCCCAAAAGAGCATGTCTACTACAACTCTGCCACAGGCCTGAGCCAAGCACCACTGTTCTAGTAACTGATGGGCAGGCACTTTCCCTTTCTGACAATAAACTGAGTACTTCCAAAGGGGGTGGGGGGAAATGGCCTGGAAAACACTGATAATACTTAGGACTTGCGGTTCCTGAACCCTGACCATACTTTACAATGACTCCAAGAGCACATTAAAAAAAAAAAAAGCAAAAGACAGACTTCTGGGTCTCACCCTAGACCTACTGTATTAGAATCATGTAGGTTGGCCCAAGGGATTTAAAAAAAACAAAACAAAACAAAAAACTCAAAATGATTCTGAAGCAGACAACCCACATACCAGTATTCAGTGATCTTTTAACAACTGCTGGCTAGAAGGAACCAAGAAATACCTGTTCCATCTGACTCCAATTAGATTAGTATCAAAGTCAAGTCAAAAATGAAAGGTCTCCAACATGACTCAAGTTACACTAGCTTTGGTGTTTTACCAAATCTCATCACTGGGAAGCTCATCCTTTTAACTTCACCAAATCCCCCTCTTCTAAGTTACAGTCCATTCTCTTTTATATGGTCACATTGGACCCTGGAAACAGATCATCTCTGTTAAAATGTGTGATTACATTGGAAGATGAAAATAAGCTGTAACAAAACAAAAAGAACTCCTCCTACCCCTCCCTGTGTGGCCAGCCCTGAAGCCACAGAGCACCATCCTGAGCTGGGGCATCCTGGGGGGCAACTGAACACAATGAAGCACAGCAAGGGTCATACCTATCATCACATTTAGACCAATGTTCTATGCAAAATCCTTTTCTCTGTGAACCTGTTTCTTGAACAGGAAAAATCTACTGCTTCCCGAGGATATTTTCAGGTGGTATTTCGGGCTGTAATTCAAAAAAATCATGAAATCTCAATGTTTTCTACCCAGTGAGTTTCTTCTGGACCTAGGAAGTAAGACCATGCCTCACCAGAGATATTTACTAAGATTCTGACCCCTGACAGTGGCGTGGAGTTGGTGATTTCCTAAGTCCCATATTCCTATTTAGTCACAGAGTTAAAATACTTTTCCCATTCTGTTAGTTTTAAAAAAGGGCCCAAATTCTTTGATACTGCTCTCATCCAAAAGTAGGGTGCTCAACACTGTGAAATGTACTAAAAGCCACTGAACTGTAGGCCTGAAATGATTTAAATTGTGAATTTATACTATGTGAACTTTACCTGAATTTTTTAAAAAGTACAATTCTCGCCTTGCCAGTGTGAGCGTAAACCTATGAACCAGGAAGTCATGATTCATAACACATGCCCAGGTTGCGGGCTCAATCCCCCATGGGGGACATGCAGGTGGAAGCCAGATAAATAATTTTCTTTCATCATTGATGTTTCTAGCTCTCTCTCCCTCTCCCTTCCTCTCTGAAATCAATAAAAATATATTTTTTAAAAATAAAAAAAAAAGTTTTAAGTACGATTCTCCATCTCCTCCTCTGGAATCTAGACTCTGTGCCTGCTTGACCTGTAGAATAGGGCAGAAATGCTAAAGAAACTGGCAATTGTTTCTATTCTGTCTTCTACGATATTCACTCCTGGAACTCAGACACCATACCGTGAGGATGTGTAAGCAGCTAATTAAGAGAGGACCTGAAGTCTCCGAACCCGAGCCCTCACTTAGCTCCTAGACAGCAGCTAGCAATAACTTACTAGCCATGTGAGGGATTCTCCAGCCGCTACAGAGCTGCCTCAGCCAAAGTTATGTGGAACAAACTCTCCCTGCCAAACTCCACCTAACCTGCAGATTCATGAGCAAAATAAATGTCCGTAGGTGTTTAAGCCACTAAGTTTTAAGATAGTTTGTTATGCAGCAATAGAGAACTGATTCTTGAATATAATAAAGAGTGGCTAGTCAAAAATGGCTTCAGAAAATTCTCTAACCTGGTACCGTAAATCACAGTAGATTCTGACAAGCATAATCTTTATCACCAAAGAATTCATTCATGCATGTTCTTCACAACTTAAGTGACTCACATTCTTTCTAACATGTTCACTCAAAACTATGCATTTGACTTCCTTGCTAAGAAATGTCTTTAAAGAGAGAGAAAAGGCAAGAAAGCTACCAGGGCACAAAATCTCTTAAGCTATCAAGCAACAAAAAATATGGACAGCTCTCAATGC